CCGCCGCCGCCGCGCTCGCCGCGCTCGCGGCCGCTCCTGCTGCTGCTGCTGCTGCTGGCCGCCTGCGGGGTGGCGGGGCGCTCCCCCGAGCCCGGGCGCCTGGGTCCCCGCGCACTGCTGACCCGGGCGCCGCCGAGCACGCCCGCGGGGCGCGCGCTGCCTGGCGGCGGCGAGGACACACAGGCGCGCGGCGCGGAGCCCGGCGCCCCGGGTCTCGGTCCCGCTCCGGGTCCCGGCGGGGACGGCGCCCCCGCCGCGGGCCGGGGGCGCCGGACGCGGGCGGCGCCCGTGGCCGGAGCGGCTTCGCGGGCGCAGGTCTCGCTCATCAGCACGTCGTTCGTGCTCAAGGGGGACGCGACGCACAACCAGGCGATGGTACACTGGACGGGCGAGAACAGCAGCGTAAGTGACCTCCGCGCGCCCCCAGCGGCCCCTGCCCCGGACACCTCGAGCCCCCACTTCCGGACCGCCCCGCGGTCACCCCGGGCGTTCTCGGCGACTTGGGGGCGCGAGTCACCTCGGCGGCGCCCCTACTGGACTCTGGCCACCGGTTTCTTGGGGGAGAGGTCCCTAGATATGTGAGCACCCTGCCTCACAGGGTTCTGGGACCCCGAGTCACCTCGGAGGCGCCCCCGCAGGCCTCCAGATCCCAGGTTACGGGGTGGGGGTGTCTCCCGAGGCTTCGGGACCCTGGTCACCAGGGGTGCCTCCAGGTCCTTTAGGACCACCCCAACTCGGTGTTGCGCCCCGACCGCTCTCAGACTCCACCCGGTCTGCTCAGCGTTGTGTTCTGGGATTTTGGCTGCGGGACCCTCTCCACCCAGGTCTACCCGGGACCTCGCTAGTGGTCTACCCTGGAGCTCGATCCACGGGCTCCAGGAATTCCCCGGTCAGCTCGGCGCCGGATTCTGGGACCCCCCCCCCGCCTCCGGATTCCCCTAGTGCCACCCGGGGCTGCACCCGGAAGCGCAGGGATCTGCGCACCCACGGAGGTGGGCGCCGCGCTCTCGACCCGCGGCTCCCGGCCCTCCCTTCACCTTCCCCGCCGCTCTGGAAGTTGGACTCCCCCACCCCCGCCACGTCTGTTAGGGTCCTGGGCGCCTCCTTCCTCCAGCGCTGCGCTGTGGTTCCTATCCCTCCGGATACCGGCCCATCCTTTTTTTTTTTTCCGTGGTGCGCCCGGATGGGGGTGTGTGTGTATGGGGATGCCCTCAGATTCTTCCCTGGGGAGCTGCCTCAGCCTCGTTTTTCCCCTGGGCAGATGACCAGTGGTCACGCATGGGTCCCCTTCCAGCAGCCCTAGTGGGTCATGTCCAGTTTTGGAAGAGTGCAGAGAGGTGGCAGCTGTTGGGGGGGGGGACTGTTGTGTGGAGAGTAGAGATGGGACCCTCCGCTTACTCCCTTCCATCATTGTTCACTCGGGTCTCCCCCAGTGGCTGACTCCCCAGCTCTTCTCCTGGACAAAGTTCTTTTTTTTTTTTTTAGTTTTTTTTATTTATTTATTTGAGAGAGAATGAGAGAGAGAGAGCACATGAGAGGGGGGAGGGTCAGAGGGAGAAGCAGACTCCCTGCCGAGCAGGGAGCCCGATGTGGGACTCGATGCCGGGACTCCAGGATCATGACCTGAGCCGAAGGCAGTGGCTTAACCAACTGAGCCACCCAGGCGCCCCTCCTGGACAAAGTTCTGAGGAGGCAGCGGGGGGCCAGGATTCCTGCATGCTTTGGGAGTGGAGGGGTGGGATCTTTGCGCTTCCCTAGCCAGGAAAGGGCTGTAACACGGGCTGGGGGCACCCCCCCCCCCCCCCCCCCCGCTCTCTGTCTAGCCCTGCTGGGCTAATGGGGATGGGGGTGGGGCGGATTCTGCTGGAGAAGGGAGGGGTGTGGGGACGAATATGTTGGACCACCCTATCGCTCCTCCTGCGGAATCCAGGGGCAGCGCATCCAGGGGGCAGCACTGGGCGCACTTGATTGGTCCAGAGCCCAGAGCCCTGCCAGTCCCCCTCCTTAGCCAGCTGGGGGCTGCACCGGCGCAGACACCAAGTCTCTGGTCTTTGGTCATTTCTGCCGCTTCCAGGCAAACTAGAAGCCTTGGGGGAGGGTGGGGGGGCGTTGAGTTGATTCCCTGGAGGCCAGCAGGGGGCGCTCAGGGAGCCAGGTGGAGTGGGGGTGGGGGAAGGTGCCTGACCGAAGGTAGCAGGCACCCGGTCCCTAGAAGAGCCCTAGGAGCCCGTCCCCATCTGCGTGGTGAGAGAGGGGTCGGACCCCAGATGAACGGCTGGGCCCGGCCCTTCATCACTCCCCATACTGGTGAACATACCCTGTCCCCTGTGCTGTAAGCTCGGACTTAGGGACTGAAAGGTAACCCGGAAACCAACAGCTGGAGGAACACGCAAGCATTTAAGGTCATCCCATGGAGCCAGACTGTCTCAACCAAGCCCCCCACCCCACCGGCTGAGGTGGTTGAATCAACTGCTGATCCAGTCCCTTGTCATTTTCCCTTCATGGGGTGGGGAGGTGGGGGTGGCAGAAGGGACAGAGGGGCAGTCAGGGGTGGGACCAGCACTTTCAGGACTCACTGGCTCCCAGCACCCACCCCAGCATGAGCACAGAGCCAGAGGACTGTGCACCTTCCTTGGGGGGAGTGAGGAGGGGGCTCAGGCCCGCGGGGCTGGAGCTCGGGGGTGGGGGTGGGGAGCAACAGGGGAGCCTCCCTGGCTTTGCTCCCTGGGGACACTGGCTCCGATGAGTGACGGCTTTGTAACTAGAAGGATTGTATCCTGGCTGTTGGCAGGTGAATTCCTGGAGAGGGGGCTGGGGAGGGGAGGGGATCTGGCTTCTCTTTGGTGGGGGGTGGTGGTGGCAAGAGGTCCAGAACAGGAGGGGAGCTTTAAAGGCTGCATCTCTCCTCCCGGCCCCCTGCCAAGGGGAGGGCAGGGGTAGCGTGTGCAAAGCAGGGCCCAGCCTGGCGCTTAGCACACACTTAGGAGGCGGAAGCCAGAAGTACCTTATTACCACCAGTGAGTGTTATTGTCGGTGAGGTAAAGAGAAGGCAAGCAGCATCGAAATGTTGACCTAGCCTCTGGAATAGGATGTTGAGGCAGACCGAGTTCTCTCTGGAACAAAGCAGATCATCTTCTGGTCTGGGGAGTAGGTGGTGCCTAGCTGGGGCGGGGGGAGGGAAAGTGGAACCGAGCGCTAAATGAAAATGTGTTTCTAATTGTCACTTGCTCCATGCACAGGTGCGTGTCTGGTGCAAGCATGGCATTGTTTTCTGGGCACGCGAAGCTCTTAGAGATGGGCTTTGCTCCCTCTGTTCTCAACGAGCGGCCACGGGGCCAAAGATACTAGCCAGCATTCTGCACTTGGTTTCGCCCGCGCTTGAAGCCACCATCTTTTAAGGTTACAAGAGGGAAGAAACTAACTCGAGGCCAGTTTGCGGAGCGGAGTCTTTCACAAATTTTATTTCGCTTCGTTTGTTCAGGTAGGGTGACCCAAGAAACTGCTTTGCAGATGTGGTCCGCTGGAGCAGAGGAAGAGTTTGCTTTCAAAATTAAAAAAAGCGTTCACTGAGAGGGATAGACTTTCTGAAATAGTATTTTTGAGCATCTGCAAGGAGTCACAGGATGGCAAGAGACAAGCCCTTGTCCCTGAGCACTGGGAACATGTGCGCATTTTCCTTCCCACGGCCTGATTTCTTCCTGCTCCCGCGGAGTTAGGGATGCAGACTTGCCTGGGAGTTCAAATACTGCCTTTCTGTCTGTTGAACCGTAGAAACAAATTGTTATGTGTGAAATTCATGTTTCATCGAAACCATTGGGCATCGCTTTGAGGGATCCAGGATGGGCTTTGCCTAGAGGCTCCAGGTTTCGCTTCTCTTGAACTGCCCTCAAAGGCACAGGTGTGATTTGAAGGTGGAAATCATGTGCTTCTTTTGCTTATTCTAAGTATAGCTCACCTGTGTGCCTTCCCTCATGGCACTTGAACTTCAACTTTGGTGCATTCACGTCACTTGAACGTGAGCTTGCTGCGACCAGACCTAGTTGGTTCAGCATTGTCACTGCTCTCAGTAGATGAGCCCCTCTCCCTGTCCCCTTCCATCCCCGTCCTCCCCCCCCCCCCATTTTCCACATTTGCTCTGTGCTGTTGTGCCTACAGGATTGGGGATGTCCAGGGGAGTTGTATACAAAGGTAATTTTGAGCTGGTTATCCATGTTCTCCGCTCCGGGGTCTTGAGGAACCTGATAGTTGTGTATATTTTAGACCCAGGGAGCCAGGGCTCCAAATCGAGGGTATGGATTGGGTCACGACAACTTGCCAGATGTCAAGTTCCTGGAGGGCAGGTGCATAAGTGAGCTCAGGTTTTCGTACCAAAGCAGCCCAGACCGGGCAGCTTCAACGACAGAAGTGTATTTCCTCCCAGGTCTGGAGGCTGGGAGTCTGAGATCCAGGCGTGGCAGGTTGGTTCCCTCTGAGGCCTCCCCTCTTGGCGTGTAGACGGCTGCCTTCTCCCCGTGTCCTCACACGGGCGTCGCTCTGTGCGTGTCTGTGTCCTGATCTCCTCTTCTTCTGAGGACCCCCGTCAGATTGGATCAGGCCCACCTGACTGGCCTCATGTTAACTTAATTTGAACCTCTTTAAAGACCCTATCTCCAAAATACAGTCACAGTCAGAGGGACTGGGGGTTAAGATTTTTTGGAAGGGGGCACAATTCAGCTCACAGGGGCAGGGAAGGGGTCTCTGTTACCTTTTCATGCCCTGTGCATAATGGTGGTGGATCTCAGGGTGGTCCAGTGGGAGAGAAGGGAGGGACACCGAAGCTCGGGGACAAGGGGCGAGTGCCATCTTCCCTGGTGGGGAAATCAGAGGAGGTTGCATGGAGGAGGTGGTACCAGAGTGGGCCTAAGGAATGAATAGGAGAAGCGCACGGGAGATGGAGAAGAACACTGAGCAGGGAGGAACAGCTTGGGCAAGCTCTGGGAAGTGGGAATTTAAAGGTGTGTACATGTTGTATAAAGAGACCGTGAATGCACTGTGCATGGAGGCGGATCAGAGGGAAGAAGTTTGGGAAAAATAGGTCGAAGTCAGCTCCTCACAGAACCTAACATGAGGCTGGAGAGCCCAGGATGGCAGCACGAGGCAGTGGTTTTGTTTTGTTTTGTTTTGTTCGAAGGTTAAAAGCTTTTATTTAGAGAGGCTGAAATGATTGTGTGCTAATTGGAACAGCTAAGTTGTGCAAGAAATGACTTGAAAATTCCCTTTTGATACCCCTGAAGAGCTGGATTCCCTTATATGTGCTCTATTCTTTCTGCAGACTTCCAACCTCAGGTGGAGCCGAGCAGAAACAGGGCTTCGGCTTCCTGCCGTCGCTGCTGGGCTCTGGACCCCTGAGTTTGTAAACAAGG